CTTCTCTCCCAGTAACTCCAGCCCTGGGTGGGAATCTGGTTTAAAGTGCTCTGAGCCACAGTTTTTCCAAAACCTGCAGGAAATATTGTTGGCCTGACAGGAGAGCAAGTGAAGTTACGCAAGTAAAGCTCCCAACACAGGCTTAGTGGCTCCTCTCCTCTCCTGAGGGCCTCACTGCCTCTGAGGGCGTGGACTCTGCATTTTTTCTGTCTGTGGTTTTCACCTGCTCTGGGTGCAACTCTTACCTTAGTTCTGTATTTGACATTCTCAACACTGTAAAACCATCAGATGTCCTGGAGTGACCTGTAATTTTATCAGCATGGGTCAAGAAAGGGCCTTTTGGTTCGGGGTAAACTTGATAAGTGGAAAGAACATTGGACTAAGTACCAGGTTTGAAGACTTGGTTTTTTAATAATAGCAGTACCAGCGATTACTGACTATTTTGTGCCAGGCGCTGTGCTAAGTACTTTACTTAGATGATCTCATTTAAAATCATGATAGCCCAAATGATACAGGACCTGTCATTAGCTCCCATTCACAGAGGAGCGGTCTGAGGCTTAGGGAGAATAGTTGCCCACTTCAGGCTACAGAGACAGTAAGTTCTCCCTTAACCACTGAATACTGAGTTAACTCCTCAGTGCCAAGTGCTTCACATGTGTCTCTTACTGAATTTTCACAGCAACACGTTTCACAGATGAAGAGACTGGGGCTGAGGCTCAGGGAGAGTAAATAATTGCTTGAGTTGGTTATTGACCAAATTGGGATGCAGCCAGGATCTGATCCCCAAAGTTATGTTTGTCTATCCCTGTGTTCTACTGCTTTGCTTCACGCCTCAGCTGGAGGGGTGCCCAGAGGCACCGTAGGTTGTAAGAGGATCATAGGCAAAAAACCCAGTAATGATAGCTGGGAAGACATGTCAAGTAAAGGTATGAGCTTCAAGGAGATTTGATAAATAGAGTGACATCAGGGTGAACTGGGAGAAGCCTGGCACAAGGAGAAGGATCTTAGAACTACCCCTGGGAATGGTTGGGAGGAGGAAGGAGACCTGCTTTTATGTAGTGCCAGTTGCCTGGTGGTGATGCCAGCCGACAATTTGCAGGGGTTATGCTGGGCTGGGCACCTACATTGCTTCATTATCCAGGCCACGTAATTGTGAGCACAATTTGTGATTAAATTAATTTAGCCACGAAGTTGCACCACACCCCACCATCCTTGTACCTGATAACCCCTACGGTCATCCCACCCTCTGCGAATCTCAGGGCCTCTCCACTCCGCCCGCAGGCTGGGGCTCAGCCAGCACTCTGCGGGCTCTGCCCAGGCTGCAAAGCTCTTTGTTGCTCTTGGCATGGTTAATGGCTTAATTTCTATTTTTCTGTTTGGAAATGCAGTTCATCCGCATCGAGGCAGCAGTGGGTGCTCAAATGGTTTCTGATGGCTATCTTGAATGTTAATATCCTAATACATTTTATCATCAATGACCCTGGCCCTGCTTCGAGTTCTCACTCCCCTTTTACAAAGATAGGCATGCTGCCTGCCTTCGAATAGGCGTCTCAGAGCATCTCATTCCTTGGCTGTCTCCCGCCCTGCTTTTTCACAGATAGCATTGTACTTCTTCAATCAAGTCCCCAGTCGTGGGAAATCTTTGACTTGGAGGATATGAGAAAGTGTTTCATTATGCCGGCGGGGCTTAATAGGGATGATCTAATCTCTAAAAAACATACATTATTTAGATTTCATGCTTTTGGACTAGGGGGCCCCTGATATGTTTCAACTATGGCAAGGACAAGATTCTGCCTTGGCTCTGTTCAGCAGAGTGGACTGTTGGTTTTCCTGTTTGTAATTGAGTGCAGGGATTGCGTTCGACTTGGGGTTTGGGAGGGGGTCAGTGTCCATGGTAAGGGTGTTGGAGAGCATTTTCTTTATCCTGAAACCTAAAATCGTGGCTGCTTGAGGTGGTTAAGGTGGGAAGAGTTGTGCCAGCAAGCATAGGGCAGGCTCACTATTGGTTCAGGCAGAGGATAAAGGAGAGTCTCGGAGCCCTCGATGGATTTTTCAGGCTGTCTCAGGGAACCAGGTACACAGGCATGCCAGGCAGGGAGGCTGGCACATAGGAGGCAGGCATGGGAGGTAACTGAGCTTCCTAGCCCCCCCCCCCACGAATCTTTACACTCTTTCTCTGGGCTCTCTCTGGTGTTCTCTCATGAACTTGCCCTTCTGCAGTCATTCGTCCTCTGATAGCTGTCTTCTGAGTAATGCTGTCCTTAGATCCCTGGCCTCTAGGCTCAGGTGTGCACACTTACGCATGCGCACACCCATGCTCCAGGTGTCCACAATCAGGCACACATGCCCCACTCCCATGCTCCCAAGCGCCTCCTGCATCAACACGATCAAGGCCAGAGGTGATGGCCACAGAGGCTAGTGACTCAAAAAGCCTCATAAACTTCATTTACCCTACAAGAGTCTTCTCATGAATCACCATTTTGTTTGCTTGTTCCCATCTGGAGCCCAAACTCAGGTGAGCAGATCCGCTTCACTCCCTGCCCTGGCGGCACTGGGAACGTCCCATCTCTGGCTTAGCCACCCCCGTTGATGGACCTGAAAATTTGGGCTGACTGCTTGTAGGGTCAGGACAGGACACGGTGCAGGTTTTCTATGATCCAGCAGACCGGGTAAAGGAGGAGCAGAGTCCTCAGTGGCTTTTTGCAGGCTTTTATTGGGATTTACCAGGTACACAGCAGGCAGGGGCGCTGGGGGGCCGGGAGGCTGGCAGGCCTCCCAGCCCCCAGCAAGTCTTCATTCTATCTGAGCTCTCCAGCCTTCTCTGCTTCTCTCTTGGCTTCTGCTGCTTCTTTCTCAGCTTCTCTTTTGCCTTCTCTTTTGGCTTCTACTGGCGTCCCCGTGACGCCACCCTTCAAAGCCCAGTCTTAGCCCAGGTGAATCCCATTTACCTCTGCCCACACCCTACTCCAGGTGCCCGCCATCAGGCATGCATTCCGGACCGCAAGGATCCATCATCTATCCTGATGGCAGGAGGGCAGAAAAGCCTGACATTTTTCCTTACCCTACACTGCTGAAGCCTGAGTCTGGAATAAAGCGGGACTGGAGCATGGCTCAGGGATGCTGGGTGTGAGTGGAGTAGATGTGGGGGAGGGACCCACAGTTCTAGGTGCATTTCTTTACCTCCTGGGGGTATGTGGCCCACAGGGGATAGTTATCTTTCCCTCCCTACCCACCTCATTCAAATTAGTACAGATAACCTGCCTGGGGTGGAATTAAGGGGTGGGGGGGCTGGAGGATAGGGGGTAACTGATTTCTGAATAGTCTCTGGGGGTTCCAAACATAGAGCATTTTCCACTCCACAAACGTTTATTGGGTGCCTCCTGACTAGCAGCCGGTAAGCTAAGCACCAAGGATGAAAATATGATTATTTTACTCTGTTTAGCAGAGGAGATAGACATGTGGGTAATATATTATAGTTTATCAGGAGCTGTATTTAGATAGGTGTGGATACTGTGGGGACACCAATAAGGGGTGATCAATTCTGACTAGGCTATCTGGAAAGGCTTCAGAAGGGAGACCAGGATGACCCTGACCTGGAAGGAGGAGGAGGTACTCTGTGGATGAGCAGACCCTTTGAGTACTACTTTCTAAGTGTGTGCCTGCTGTGTGCTGGGGACAATGAAAAAGGAAAGGAGTGTAGTTCCTGCCCCCAAGAAATTCACAGCTTGTGGAGGAGACAAGCTTGGCATGAATTAGCCAATGAAAGCTCTGCATAGACAGATGGGATTGTGGAGGCAAGGATAGGCTGTTGGGGGTACTCGGTGATCCAGGCTTTCCGGATTTACTACTCTCTCATGAAAAACACGGTTTCTATGAGGACAGCTCAGACCTTGTAAAGATGTCTGAACGGCCCCTCTGCCTGTTCTCATCAGCCTGCTTCTGTGTAGTAGAAATAGGATGAATGTGAATATGTAGAAGAAGGATGTTAGGGGGAGTGCAGAAGGTTAGAATTTATAGGTATTGACTTTCTCTTGGCAACCCTGGGAGAACCTGGGGTTTGCAAAAGTCATGTGCAGCTAACACACAACTGAGTGAGGGGGCCCATTAGCCTTGCACAGGCACCACGCGCACCCCTAGATTTTGCTTGTGCTCTTTTCTCCCACCCCAATGCCTCTCCTTTCTTGCCCTTATAAAGTCTTCCCAGATCACTTTTCTACATGATTTTCAGGCTTGCCAGTTACTCATGAGTTCGGCATTGTTCTGGTTTTTTTGTTTGTTTGTTTTTGTTTTTGTTTTTGTTTTTGTTTTTGTTTTTTAAACTCTCTGATGAGATTCTAAACACCTTGAGAGCAAGGATAGTGTCTTAGGCTTTTCTTACCTCCCCCGTGGGCAGTGGTGAAGTTTGGAGAACATGGGTTTCTTTAGATAGTTTTGGCATCGTGCATCAGCATCACCACTAACCTTGGAACTTTGAGTCCAGCTTCCTTATTTGCAAAATGGGATAGCTGAAGGTTTCTTGCCTCAACCCCACTGGCCTCAGGGCTGGATAATTCTTCGCCATGGAGACTCCTGTATACTCTAGGCTGTATGCTTTAGCATCCTTGCCCCTCACCTGTTAGATTCATGTAGCAGCACTCCCTGTCCGTCTAACTGTGACAATCAAAAAATCTCTGGATATTTTTGTGTTCAGAAGTGTCCCTGCGTCAAGTGTCCTCTGTGCCAAGTTTCCCTTGCATTGCAAAATCGCTTCCATCGAGAACCAGGGGGATGACATTCCCTCCGGGGATGTCAGACCTCCTAGTGCTGCAACTGGACACAGCAGACATTCCATCAATGCAGATTCGCCTTCATTCCTAATTCACCCAGTACTCGACACGTCATAGGTCAATGAGTGAATGGAGCTGGGACTCTAGGTTTTAGTGGTGTGGAGGGAAATGTCAGGGACCTCTCGGGTTGTCTCCACGCACACTAACAGAGTCACTCATTTTCTTAAATTGCAGATTGATCTGGAGCCAGAAGGAAGAGTGTATGTGATCATCGATCTCTCGGGATCATCGGGTGAAGGTAGGAGAGGGTGACCTCTGATTCTTGTTCTCTTCCATGGACTCTTTGTCTCTCCCTTCTGGCTGTGGTTGGGACACATTACAGCGACATTTAATTAACTGGCACACTTTAAAGGAAAAGGTTATTTTGAAGATGCTTATGCCTGTGTATCAAAAGGGACCAGCCATCTGTTAGCTTTGGTGGAGCAGAGGGAAGATTTTCGACTTACCACAGAGGCCAATAAAGCAGGCGCTCCTGACAGTGATTTTGAAGCAGGCTTCCGGGGAGTGGCAGGCTCCCCCTGAGACTCTTGTGGGGTTTGTGTGTGTGTGGTGGGAAGGAAGTAAAGCCAGTTGCTGTAACGGAATTCAGAAATGAAACATAAACGTGTCAAATTTCAGATTCTTACTTCTTTAGAGCTTTTATAGAAGTGTTACTTCTTTTTACCAGTTCCTTATGCGGGCGAGAGCCCTACTTTTAAAGTGAAATAATGGGGTGAGGAAACGTCTGCTCTCCACTGGCTGATTCAACAGGGTATAGATGTTCTCTGATCGTCATATTTTCTTTCTTATTCTTATGCCCTCTTCTTTCTATCCTGCTCTTGCTCACTAATGCCTGAAAGCTGGCGGGTGGTGAGGGCTGAGCTTAGGGGTAGAAGGGAACACTATGCCATCAAACATCATCCAGTAGAAACAGGGAGATGGTGGTGTCCTGGGACTCTAGGGAGCCTGGAATTAGAACTGAAATTTAGTTATTGGAATCACCTTCCTGCTCTTCCTCTCTCCTGGGCAAGGGGACTGTTGGCTTTAGGTCATGGCAGAGGGTTGGAAGATCACAACTGGCTCCTCTTGGCAGGGCTCGGGGGTTGGAGTCCTCAGGGGAAAGACAGACTCATAGCTTCCGCAGCCCCTGATTGAAAGACTTGAGCCTTTTACACCACTTCCCCAGAATTATAAACACAAAATCACTCTACATGGTCTCCTCTTCTTTAGGGATAGAGCTATTGTTTATGTTTCAGTGATGGAAGGAGAGATTATGTGAGCAAATTCAAAGGAGCTGGTCAAATGATGTACTTGACAGTGATGCCTGTTGATTCTCATTTAGCTAATTTATCACCCAATTCCAACAGGTGTTCAGAATAATTCAATAATTGTGTGTATGCGGGGCTCAAAATAAAATTCAGTTCTCTTTTAAGAGATCTCAATTATTTGGCATAAGTTTAAAACATGAAATATCTTTCCAAAATCGGTCTCTTACATTTTCTGTTCTTTATTGCAATTATATGCTGGCATTTCCAACGTTCCTTCTCTGCTCTCAGCTTTGAACAGCCCAGAATAGAATCTGTTTTAGAAGATTTGAGGATTTAATAGTAGTTAGTATGAAATATTTAAGATGTACAAAAGGACCTAAAGAATAATAAAATAGAGACCAGTATACCTAAATAAAATAGGGATCAGTGTATCCAACACCCAAATTAAGAAATAAAGACTCAGTAAGGTGAATTCTTGCATTTCTCTTAACAAAGTATATGATCCCAAATTCATCCAACTTGAAAGTCTTACAATGGCCTCCTAATCACTGACAATGGTGAAATATTTGATGAGCAAAAGCAGTCTTTTTTCTTACATAATCTATATGCAACAGAATAATTAATTTAACATTTCCTGTGTCAAGATGTTGGATAACTAATGAAAGACTTGGATTTTTATTTCTCCTTCAAAAGATTAACAACTTGCAAAATTATAGAGGACATCCTTTTTTACATAAGAGGGAGAGGATATGGACAAATGAATGAAGAAATAAATCAGAAGCAATTGATTTTTTTTTTTTTCCATCTTGTTTCTATGGCCTATTTCATGTGAATGGTCAAAGCAATTTTTAGAGGACTGGAGTCTTAGTCTTTTTTTTTTTTTAATCTCTTTCATCTAAAGAAAATAGAGTTTACTTGAGAAATGCTGACACATGCCAGCATTTAGACTCTGTAAAGTACTAGCATGTGTTGCTCTGAAGAAAAGAAGAAATTTTTCTGTGCTTTTTCCTCACTGCTCCTGGATTTGGGATCGTTTTTCTGGAGGGGGGAAGGACTCCAGGAACCCCATTCTTGAAGCTGAACTTGCTGTGCCCCATCTTTGTCTGATTCCCCAGTCCTGCTGCTGGGAGTTGGAGGACTCCTGTTTTGGAAGGGGTTTCGTTTGGGAAGGGTAGGGGGGCGAGGAGAGGAGCAGAGACTGAGTAGCCACAAAGTTTGCCACTTAGATCACATGAGAAGGATCCAGTGCAAAACATTCACAGATTCATGTCTAACTCCCTTTATTTAGTGAAACTATTGAACTCTGTAGTCCTTGAAAGCGTGGAAAGAGGTGAAACAAGGAGAAGTGATGTTTTCGCTTATTCTATCATCAAGCATCCCTCAGCTCCCCTATCTCCAGTGCTCCAGTCCCATTAGTAAAAAAAAAAAAATTTTCATAGCAATTGAGCAAACTTTAAAATACCTACAAGAGAGCACAGAGAAAGGTGTGGGGGTGAGAGTACGTGAACACACTCCCTTCTAGGATGTGCCAAAGGATTTTTTTTTTTTTTTTTTTGCTAGCTCGCTGTAGGAAGCCTGGACGTTTATGTCTGCTCGAGCTGCAGCTAATGTGATTTCTTACTGTCTAATAAAATTCCACTGCTTGCATGTCCTGTGCAGTTCACCATAAATGGATGTGACTGGTGTGTGCTTTAGTTTAACCAGGCAACATAACCCCAGATGTAAAGGGGTTAGGCTGGATGATAATTTCAGTCATTTCCTGCCCAGCAATTTTGTCCTTTGGTGTAACTTGAATAGGCATCTATCAGAGTGCAAGGCTGAGAGCTGGCTAATATCTATAAAAAGTAGAAGGGGTTCAAAGAAATGGACCCTCATGACAGTTACTTGCCAGGCACTTTATTTATATCATCCCAAGGAGCAAACCGTCTCAGCAGGCTCATCAGTGACACCCCAGTCTCCAACTCTTAGGGTGTGCTTTTATCCTAAGTAGTGACCACCTGGCTTCCTGGTAAACATAGCCCCATAGGCTCACCAGATACTTAAAGCATGATTAGCCCAGGTAACAGAAGCATAAATAGTGATGTAATTCTCAAATGTGCAAGTGCTTATTTCCTGTTGGGCACGTTCATTAGTATGTCTTTCTTTGCGGTGACGTAATTTGTGTATTATTTATGCTCTTTATAATAATATGACACTGTGCCTTTATTTGCAGAATTCCAAAGGAGGGATAATTAAGGTCTGATCAAAGGATTTCTGGGTTCTTTCTTCCCCTGCCTTTCTACCCAAGTGTAGTGTTAACCCAGGAGAGTTTTTCAGTCTAAACGAATAATAGACATAGCAAGAAGTAGGCCTCACTGGTAGGTCTGTACCACCAAACTTTTACTCCAGTAAAATGCAGAAGATATAGAATAATTTGAATGACTTTTTGCAACACTGTATATCATGCCATCAAACCAGGTTTTGGCATGTTTGCACATTGTGGAAGCAGAAGATGAGGGGCAGAGGGTGGAACCCACTTTTCTCTCTCTTTCTGCAGTCATGTGCTGCTGAAAGCCCTCATACTCCTCTCGGGGACAGGCAGCAGATAGAGCTGAAATAACACAGGATTCTATCAATCCTGGATTTTATTCCTAGCTCTGGAACTTATCTGTTTAGAAATACAGATTTCTCAGCCACGAATGAGGATAATGGCCCCTGTGTTAGGTACTCTGATGGGGTTGCTATAAGAACTATGCCTTGGTATCATGGACAGGAGAGGCTCAGTTAATATCCTAAGGCCCCAGAGACCTCAGGGCAGGGAGGTGGGCAAAGCTCTAACCCAGTGTCTATAGTGGGGCAGCAAGCAGGGTATTGGGGGCGCTCAATTCGAGGGCAGGGCTCTGACTCTGGGGAGTGGCAAAAGGCCTAAGAACAAAGGAAGATGACAAAGAGGCAACTTACTGAGAAGTCTATCTGGCAGGGCTTTCTGCAGGGTTCAGACCTAGCCATCCTTTTGCTCTTCCTCCTCCTCCCCGCAGTGGACACTCTGGCTAGCTGTGTCTGTGGACCTTTGTGTCACACACTTCTTATCAGAGCCTGAGCTTGTGTGCATGCTCCGCTCAGTGCAGATTGAGAATGTGGGGTCCCCATACTCTCACTGGCCCCTGGGTAAACGCCCTTCATATATTTGAAGACAGTAAATTGCTCTTCTTCAGGCTGAATCAATCAAATCCCTTAACCTTTCTGAAGGGATAGTTTAGAAATTTTTTTTGGAGAACAGAAAAGGCAGATTTACTGAAATACCCTGCTAAGAGAAGCAGCGGGTGAGATAGGACAGGTCTGCTACGATAGTTTAGAAATCTTAACTCATCTTTGCAGTTCTCTTCTGGACTTTTTCTTTTTTTTTAAATTTATTTATTTTTTATAGAGGCATGTTTTATTTATTTATTTTGTTTGTTTGTTTGTTTGTTTTGTTTATACATGCACTGGGTACAGTCAGAAGCGCGGGAGGGTGAGAGAATTCACCAGAGCGGGGAGCAGAGCAGGCAGAAGGACCGAAGTACACTGCTGAGGGGAGCAGCGGGCGGCAGGAGAGGTCTGCGCGCCATGTGGGATCCTCCGCCAGTGGCCGGGGAGCAGCCAGGGATCGAACCGGCACCGCAGAGGCTGCGGGCAGCTTCGCAACCCAGCGCTCAACTGCTGCGCCACCGGGGAGGCCCTCTTCTGGACTTTTTCAAGGTGCACAGACAGAAAACATAATCAAACCAGATTTTCTTGGTCCTGAAATGATAGCATCTGTGCAGAGCAAGTGCCTGGCAGTATTACCTCCATATGGGAGATGGTGACATTGAGAGAGCTCAAGCGATGTGCTCAAGGCCAAAAGATTGATTACCAGGTCCCAGTGGGTCCAGACCCAAACCACAATCCAGTGCCCTGATCTAATTCATAGCCCTGGTAATAAGCAGTGGCAATGACCTTCCCACTGTCCTTTTTACTTTAGTTCTGTTTTTTT